TGCACTGACGTGACACAGCATAGGCATCAAAATGCAACAACCACACCCAGGATCAAACTTACGATCTTTGGGTCAGCAGACGAGAGCTGTAACCGACACTGTGGCCGTACGCCATCTGGCGGACACACTGTGAAGCAGGAATAGGTTTTGCAGAATGTGGTCATTTGAGAGGAGTGGGGTCAGTATTCTTGTCTTATCTTACTACATGAAGTTGTCCAGATGGATGCATTTTCAGTGGTACATAGTGCATCTGGCAATGCGTTTCCTGTTCTTTTGTTTGACCATGATATATGCTATAACAGTTGAAACCACTAATGGAGGTCAAGTAACTGTGGTTTAACTGATGTAATCTTATGCCACTATTTTTCAGGGCCTCAAAAGCACTTTCGAATAATCATAGCATCTATGTCCCCCCTCTTTGCAAAGTGGCAGCTTGTCATAGCTTCACCTGACCATCTACCTCACCTGTATTACCTGGAAATAGGAGGCCTATGTCTGGGCTGTCTCCACAATCTTTTCACATGCTCAGGCGTGTGTTAGTGACAAATAGAATGATGTGGTAGCTTTTGGATGTTGCACCTTTAGATTTATAAGAACTGAAAATTCTTTTCTTGATGCTACAATCTTCTAAATTGAATTCAAGGACAGTCATCACTTTGCTATGTCACATTTGAACTGTAGTGCAGTTGGTGTGAATTGAGTTCAGTGCAATTTAATAAAGAGAAAATGGTTTGAGAGCTTACATACATGCTTTAATTATTGTGATCCTAGTACAGCATTGGTTTCACAAGACACTGGAAATAGGTAAAGAATAATTGGAAGTTCTACAAATGTCTGTGTAACAGTTCATAAGCATCAGCAGAGTGTATATCAATGGTAAGTTATTGGAAGCCTGATAAAAAGTTTAACCTAAGTTTAATGTAAAGCCTGATAGGAATATTGCCACAAAGCTCAGCAGTGAGCGCTAAGTTGAACAAACTCCAACAAATCATCAGCATATTGTTAGCAGTAAAACCCATACGCAGAAAGTTCAACAGCAGATTACCAGCAGGTACAAGTATGCTTTCCCCTTCGCATTTCTTGAAAGTGTTAAGCACAATCTCATTAAACATTTTTTTTCCAAGAAAGCACACTCTTGAAAGCCAAGCATGTTCTTTGAAGGCAGGTGTGTCCCATTTTGTTTCATTTAGACAGAATTTTCAGCAGGAGAGCATGCCTAGAGCATTATACCTCGTCTTGTACCAAAGCACTCACATTGTTTCGTTTTTAATTGCACACTGGACCTAGATTCAAAAAGTGCTCTTTCAACATCCCCAAAGCTTGAGTGCGTTTATCATACAGCACTCCACCGTGAAAGGGTGCTGGCTTCGTGTGATAGGCGCGAGCTGTGAAGTGATGCAAAACTAGTCATCCGTAACGACTAGCATTAACCATATGATAAAGTAGAGCATTTACAATTTACTTTCTGGTTCATCAAAGAAGCAAAATGAGAAGAGTTGCAAGCACAAAATACATATGCTATAAACACTTTAAGCATAAAATCAGTCTAAAAAACAAACACCTGAAATAAGCCGTCCATGTGCCAGGCCCAAAGCAAGTTTACATTTATTATGACGGCCAGTTGGGCATGCTGGTATAAGCTCATGATTAAACAAGTGCCAAAAACTAAACAGATTCGGAATTGGCTCTTTTTATGGACGTAACATAACTCAGTGAAATTCTTTTTTTTTCTTGTTTTTTGGGGGCGGGGGGTTAACAGGTGTTTTTTTTTTCCCTGGTTGTATGCCATTGATTATGGAAGTGTTTTTTTTTTTAGTTATTTAACATTGTTGATGATAATAGGGAGGTTTAAGGTGACGTACATGTGTGCTATGCATACATAAATAGTAGTCTTGAAATAAACATTTCCACTTGCTAGTAAGTGCTCATCCTGAGATTTTTCTCAGTGTTCGTACTTTTTAGCACTTGTTTCTTCAAGTTTACTTGTTCGTGGATTTTTCGCATAAGTAAATAGTTATTGATGACATAAACAATCCTTAGACACAAAGTTTCATATCGTCAGGATTCTAAAAAAATAGAAATCATATTCATGTTATATGCAAACAGGATATACCGAGAACAATATATGTCGTGATATAGATGACTATATTTCATTTCAACATCAAGAGTAGTGACAGTCATGATGTCACGCAGAAGAGATGAGAACATAACATTTGTAAATTATAGATTCGTGCATATGTAACTGTGCTGGTGGCTCTATACTGTTTCCAAATGGTTGTGCAGCAATGGTGATGTAGAAGCAAAAATAATGGACGCTACAATGCTACCTATGGGTGTACATTCTTGTGCACCTGAATCAACACTGCCACGTTCAAATTAAGTCAGAACACCCATAATTTCTTCAGACCATGGTGTAATAATAATCAAGTGCTGACACTGAGCGGGCCTGAGCGTCCAGATAATGTTCAGTCTCGCGGGGGCACTGCGCTGGGAGCCGTCAGATGGCGCTGCAGCAAACCTAGCCAGAGAGTGGCGAGGGCACATTCAAATTCCTCTGACTCCCCAACGTTCTCGTCCCACGCGGTGTGAGTGGAACGAGAACGTTGGGGAGTCAGAGCGTCAAATAATTTCCTTTGGGGAGTCAAAAATTTCCGTTGGAGAGTCAAATAATTTCCTTTGCACTTAAAGTGCAAAGGAAATTATTTTGTTTCAAATTAAAAGGTAAAATTTTACTAGGTTTTAAGATTTATTAATCCACACACAAAGATTTATTAAGGATTTATTAAAGATTTATTAATTTGCACAAAAATGCTTTGTGCAGGGTGTAAACATCATCAACACAGATAGTTTCGCTCACGCGGACAAGTCTTTTCGTCTGTTAACAGTATTGCTCAAGGAAAAAAAAAAATTTTAAAAATGGCCCTGTATCTGCTTGTTACACTGCAACTGTCATCGAAAGACGATAGTCTTGCGTCTGGAGAGAGTGAACAAAATGTCTATTTGATGTTCTGCGCAAGAAAATTGGTGAATTGTTTTCTGGAGGCACTGTGTTAGAGTGCCTCGAGCGTGCAGCGGAGGCGAACGAGTGCATCAAGTCTTGTCACACGTAAGACATGAGCACCATCTGGTAGTTATCTTAGAAAACGATGAGCGCGCGGGGTGTGCGCCCGTCTGGGAGGGGATAAGGTGTAGAACGCAAAAGGACTCGTAGGTAACGCCACCGTGTCGTTTTAGCAAAGCGTTGGAAACACTTGCCTTTTCGTGCAAGCGTTGCATGGTCAGCGCAGCGTGATAAACGCCATGGTCCTTAGAATTGCTTATGTATTCCTTGTCTAGTAAAAGATATACATACAAAATATTGACGTGTTGTTATGGTGCCTCAGATATGTGCAATAATTGCTTTTTAATTAACAAATCGCACAAGTATAAATGCTGAACCTTTTTGTGCAAAGAATATCTAAAGGCAAAAGAAGATGCCAGTGTAAAATCTTATGGTACGAGTCAATTAACCCCATTTTCATACATTACAACTTACTCAGGAAAACATCTCAGCTCGGATATTACAATCGATCAAAATTTTGGTTGCAGCTTGGTGCAAGACCTGCCTACTCAGCCCAATAACAAGCAACAAATACAAGCAGTTGTATTGACCTAGGCAAGGGGAAGCTAAATCATATTCAAAGCAGTACTTAAAAATATTACACTGAATTCTGGGCTTTATGTGCGAGAACTATGACATCAATAAGGTGTGCACTATGGCTGGAAAGTATGGCTGAGTTTTTACCGAATAAGAATTTTTTTTTTTTTCCATGCACCTACATCATAGTAGACAAGTGCTCCTACTTTGCAACACCATGATGCTACTGTCATAGCTTGACCATATGTGATGTGGACGTGTAAGTGTAATTCCCAAGTACTTCCCAAGCTGAACCTTGAGCAATATTGGTGGGCGCTGCGGATGGCGTCAACCGTTTGGGGTATCGGCCGGTCATTCCGATGCCTTTAAGGGCGCCGTTAAGGATGAACAAACATACAAATGTACAGACAGACAGACAGATCAAATTTTTTGCGTCGAAGGTCCCCAAGAAAGACTATCGTCTTTAAAAAAATGTTAGCCAACGTGCTATTCCTCCATCAAAATACTTCCCCGTGGGGAAGCAATGCAAGTAACTTTCGTGTGCTTTGATGTAGGTGCATGGTAAACAGCCCGGATAGTCAAAATTAGACAGGAGCCCTCCACTATGGCGTCCCTCGTAATCAAATTATGGTTCTGATGCATAAACATCCATAGATAATTATCACTCTCTAATAAAAGAGAATCATTACTGCACCAGTAATGTATTTCATGCATACCACTGCTTCCATTTACAAAGAAAACGATTGAAGCATTTGTGCTTGTTCAATGTGAATGCGATATATAAATAAATATTTGAAACGAGCAAGTATTCCATAACAAGCCGACAATAGCAATGCAGTTGTTGCACAAAATATATAAATACTTGAATAACGCACGTGTTTCATATACAGCACACTAAAGCAATGCGGTTGTTCATGGCTAAATGTTGCGATGTGAATTCACATATTAATAAAATTCCTTGCAAAGACTGTGAATAGGGATACATTGGCGAAATGGGCAATTACAAAAGAAGGCTCCGGGAACATTTTAATGACGTCAAGAACAAGAAAGTAGCTACTAATGCCCTCGCAGAACATGTTGCGTCTACTGGGCACGCTATCGACTGAGATAAAGCCTGCATCGTTGCCACAGAAAGAAAGTTGTTACCACGATTGCACATGAAATCTCTGGCCATTCAAACTACTGCATATACGTTGAACAGAAATATTGGGACACTCCCCTCTGTGTACACGCGATGTCTGCAACACGTGATGAAACGTGCATAAGAAGAGCGCACTACGCCTTTGCGATCACTGTGAACAAGGCTCCCGTGTGGGGAGCCAAAACGTCTTTTTAACTTTTGTGTATTTCACTTTGGTCGGCGTTTTTGTTATTTTTAACTATGTTTGTCCTGACCAGACGGGATTCCATCAGACTCTTGACTATATAAAGACTTCGCATATATATTTATGTCAACCATCACCATTAGACGATCACTGTCAGAAAACACTTTGAAGAGAGGGCCATGCTTTGCACAAGTCTGAAACTAGAATGGCAATTTGGTACAAAACACATATTAGCCATTTCTAGAACCTTTCAGCAATTTGATGTCACCTTCGTTGACAGAATAGGCTTCAACATACACAAAGAAAAAAACCTGTCTTCAAAACAACGCGGTCACACATGCCAACAAAAAGACCCAGAATCAGCAGCATGCATGTTTCAGCCAAGCAGGTTGCTGAGACCTAGACAGCTACCTCGCTCGTCGTAGCGCCATCTACAAGATAACTGATAACGGCCTGAACATTATCTGGACGCACTAGGATTGTGCCTTTCAACGCCTTGCGAGGAGAGTGTCAGCACCTGTATATTCTTACGCAGTGCTTTAGACAAAGAAAAGTAAAAAAAAAGTTAATCTACCTTAGAGTTGTTAAGTCGAATCCATTAAAATTCAGGTACATTCAAAGTAAACAAAAACTGATTCGCAAAAGTATTTACACCTAGAGCAACATGCACAATATGCACGTGCTATAAAAAGCTTAAGCTAGAGATTGATGTAGACAGCAAGCAGCTGAAATGAGACTCGACTATGCTAAACCTGTGCAAGTATTCTGATAAAAACAAGGATCAGTGTTACTATACAGTAATGTACAGAAAAAAATGTCATTTATATGTTCTTATCAACAAAAAATCATGCAGAGACAATACATCAGAACAGATATCACATTCATGTTATCAAATTAACTCAGACTCTCTAGAAGTCGATTTATGGCATAATACAGATTATAATCTTCTGTTTCAACAATGGCAGTAGTAATAGATACATAGGCATGTCAATGAGATGAGAAAAAAATGTTCAAAAATAACAAGTTTATTTATATGCAGCCACACTGATTTTGCTTCCAAGTTTTTGTGCAAAGAACATCTAAAGGCAAAAGAAGACGCCAGTGAAAAATCTTATGGTATGAGTCAATTAACCCCATTTTCATACATAACCATTTAATCAGGAAAACGTCTCAGCTCAGATATTACAATGGATGAAAATTTTGGTTGGAGCTTGGTGGAAAACCTGCCTACAAAGCCCAATAACAAGAAACAAATACAACAAGCAGTGGGGTTGACCTAGGCAAGGAGAAGCTTAATCATATTCAAAGCAGTACTTAAAAATATTACACTGAATTCTGGGCTTTATGTGCGAGAACTATGACATCAATAAGGAGTGCACTATGGCTGCAAAGTATGGCTGAGTTTTCACCGAATAGGGATTTTTTTTTTCCATGCACCTACATCATAGTAGACAAGTGCTCCTGCTTTGCAACACCATGATGCTACTGCCATAGCTTGACCATATGTCATGTGGACGTGTAAATGTGCATGGCGATAACACTGCCATACAGCTCGGTGAAGTGTTCACAAGAGTATTCTATATTGGTAGCTCAAACGTCACAAGGAATCAACTTTCTAGCTGTATCTTAGCAAAAAGGACTTGCCTATGACTAGCTGCATTAATAACAAAGAAATACAACATGAACTAGTTTTGCATTTGTACAAGCAAATGAAGCCACAGCAATTTTTAGAGAGGTACAAGTGTGTATAGATATTACAGCCCAACAAAAAAAAATTAAGAATTGAACATTAATATCTCAGCCCAACAAAAAAAACAAACATTAAGAATTGAACAATAATATCTCAGAACGCACATGCAGTACCTTTTATAAGATAGGAATACTATATGAAGAAATGCGACAAGAATGACACCACTGTAAGGCGAAAATTCTACTTACAAGAAAAGAAAAAGCAAGTAGTTAGCACTGCTGAAGAACAACCTGATGTTAGGTGTTAGCTTAAAATATTACAGCAAAAAGTGGCAGCTATAAATGTGGCAGAACTCGAAACATACTGCAAACTCGCGAAGATGTTAAATATGGGCACAATAGAAATTCACCAATACGTTGCTAGTAGCATTATCAATGGTGAGATTTCATGTGAGCTTTCAAGTGACTGCTCCGCACAAAAGTCTTGGAGCAGAGAGTACAGCTGTGTGGTCGCTCCCCTGTGTGGAGGCGTTCGTGCTCTGATAGGTGGGATTTGTACAAGAAGTTTCGTGGACAGAAGGAGCACTGAAATGGACGTTCACCAGCATGAACACTCAAGTGACCTTTCAGAAGGATACGGTGCGAGAAAGCTTGAGAGCACAAATGACATTTAAATGGTCGCTCGCCTGTGTGGATTCGCTGATGTTCCGTAAGATTGGCCTTCCTTGCGAAGCTCTTCTCACACGAAGGGCACTGATATGGCCGTTCGCCAGTATGGGTACGCATGTGTCTCTTGAGATCGTAACTCCGCAGGAAGCTTTGAGGGCACAAATGACACCTGGACAGGTGCTCGCCTGTGTGGACACGTTGATGTATTGTCATATGGGACACAGTTGGGAAGCGCTCATCACACGAAGGGCACTGATGTGGCCGCTCGCCTGTATGGGTGCGCAGGTGTTTCTTAAGCCTGCAATTCAATGAGAAGCTCTGAGGGCACAAGTGGCACTGAAACGATTGCTCGCCCACGTTGACCTCGTGGTGCATTCCTCTATTGGATGGCTCTTTAGCCGCATCATCAAAGTAATAAGAGCGGGGTGGCTGTGGCTGCGATGACTGGCCATATGAGAAAGCCACTGGACTGCTGACATGTCTCTCCCCTGCATAGGAGAACAAGACAGGATACTTGAACATCACTTGTTTCACACTAAAATGGTTTCATTTGAAAACTAAGGGACAAAGATGATGATGATGAACACCACAAGTTTTGCCTTTATTCAACACAAGGTAAGGGCTGTTTAAGGCTCACCATTCTTTTTCACTAGCTTTGCATTTTTATGTGATTACAGGATGCTCGGGTGTGTGAAACCATCATAAACTCACATATATAAGGGCAGATATTGATTCAATCAAAAATATAGTATTAGTTACATTGTGCAGAGAGAACTGTGTTTACTGCATAATCTGCTATCCCTGAAAAATATGATATTGATTGATGTCAGCAGAGCTTTAACATCTTGAGATTGCAGCATAGATAAACCTAAATAGTAATGTATTCAAGCACTTTTTTTCATATAAAATGCTTTTTAGAATGTATTATAACCTTTCATTGAATGACAAACATCAAGCAACCAACACCTTTGTCCTCTTAGCAAGTAACCTGATGTGAACACATCAACATCCAACACATAAACAAGGTGGTCAGTAAAATCAAGAAAATCAATTTAAAGTAATTGTTTTGTGGTTCTTAAGGGTTTGAATGAGTGGCGAGTTTTTCCTATTTGAAAAAGACAATAATGTCATATAACAATTTATGTCAGAAAGAAAGCTCAATGTATGACGTCTAAAGCGACAATTTTATCAATGAAAGTGCACCACTTGCCAAAAAATTAATGTAAATTGTAGGGTCTCGTAGTGGTGAGCGGCCGCTCTTGGAGTGAACGGACACAGCAGACGCAGTCGGAAGGAACCAAACAACACTCATTTCTTTACCTGCTTTTGATCAATGATATTAATCAATGATTTTGATCAACATCAATTGTGATCAACATGCCAAAACAACCTTATGCAATGTTACCATACACTCCACAACATAACACACACATGGCGGCGAATGCTTGACTCACCACGAGGGCCCCCGGCAGATGGTCCGCGGTGCCATGCACTAGGGACCCACCGCGAGAGACATAGTTCGCACCAAATGCCACACGCAAAAAAGACTAGCTCAATTCTTTCGTGCCATCACCAAGACTTTATGCCAGGGGTCACCGCCGGCACCACCAATCTAACCATCATGATGATAGTGGTGATCAACGTAACGCCACCTACCGCTCAATAGTTGTGACCTCAAAATACGGCTTCTGCACGAGACACACGCACAGCGCAAGCAACTTTACAGAGGGTGTCAGCCCCCCTCCCCTTATCTCCTTAACCTTAATTTAAACCATATCTCAAAAAAACACAAAAGAAATCAGCTACACAAGCTCTAACAAAAAATGACACCACATGTCCCTACAATATGTCCGTGCACCACGACACCGCCGCCAGTCGACACTGCTGCACTGTCTGGCTCGACGACATCAACTCAGTAACGGTCCAGCAACAGCAACGTTGCCATTGGCGCGATGAACCGTCACTCGTGCCGACATGTCTTCTAGTTGCGACCAGCACTCACGAGGGCGCTGAACTGCACGCTGTTGCGCAGATCCCAGGCAAGTCCATCGCCCAATGTCACGACTGCATTCCTGGCCAAGGGTGAAGACGATGTGCAGAAGACAGCCAACCACGGGTTACATCACTCCTGCTGCGTGCATTTAAAACACTCAAAAGAGCAACGCAGTTGGCCAAAGGAAAGCGAGCTTTGGGCTCCTCGCCAACGTGGTACAATGATCAGTACTGCTCGCAATGCCCACGGCCTATAAGTGGCACGCCTTGCAATCCAAGATGGCTACGGAGGAATGATCAACCCATGAACTCACGTAGGAAAAGATAGGACGCACGGACGTACTCCACATGCCGCTTTCCCGCTTTGACCAGATGAATTCTTGATCGTCAAATGAGTGTATATTGGACCAAAGTACTTTCCCAAACTAAAGGAACAGTTGAATCTTCAATACCTTATTTCTTGCCGAAGTGCGAAGGGTGGTGTCAGCTGAATCGTCCGTGTATCAACGATGCTTTTCGTAATCCTGTGCATGCTACAGAAAACTGCAGGACATAGAATTCACATAATGAACTGAACGTCACTCCAAGATAATTTATGCTGAGCTTGCCTGGTGAATATGCCACAGTAGTAGGCCACTAGCGAGTAGCGCGCCGTCATGGCTGCACAGGACCGAATGTTTACTGTAGCGATGGTTTGCAAACATATTACGCCGTCGTCATTACTTGCGCTGTAAGCATCATGTAGCTGCTTTTTCAATGGAACAAAAGCATTTAACTTCCCATTAAGTAGCGCTTGTGTCACAGCCACGATCAGGCTCCAACAGTGCGCACTTCGATGCACTAACATGTCGCAGGTTCCATCAGCGTATTAAAACAAGGATATCAAAACGAATACACGCGTACACTTCGCATCGTCAAAATTGTGAAAATTTGTCAAACAGCAACGTCGTGTGGACGGCACTGGTGAAGTGCAGAAGAAGTTAGCATAGACTGTAGTCATAACTGCATATTTCATTGCTCTAACCATTTCTCTTCGTTAGTGGAGCTCAAGTGTATTGGCAGCATGCGGCGTTTTGTAATATTCACTGTGATTGGGCTACATGCAATGCACCAAAATAACTATGTTTTTTTTTATTTTGAGCTTGCAGAAGAATATTATACAATAAATACAATCAAAGTGGCTTACGAGCGTAAAAAAAAAAACATTAACGCACGACGGGACGAGAAGTGCAACTCGCTGCTCGCGAGCTAGCAGCTGATCGTTCATTGTCGCTGTCACTCTCAGTGCATTGACAATCTACATCCAGTGAAAAATCCTCGACGTCAAGACGGTTTCATTGAACATCACTGCTTAAAGTAAGCTGAGGAATTCTTTCCGCCGAATGACTTCGATAGCACCAACAACGCGTCATTGCACATCCCCAACACGGCGTCACTCACCACGTTTATCTGGCTGGGAGTGCGGAGAAACTTTCGCTCCGATACCAGGCAAGAAAGGAATGTTGCAGTGTACTGCCATCTATCTACGCAAGTGAAAAAACAAGCAGCGCAGCGTAGGCCAAGGTATGGAAGTGCAAATCGAGAGCCTGCGCTACTTTTTGCAAACAATGAATGTTATGGCATTCGTGCACTACAAAAGCACTGCGAATGCCATATGCATGTAAAACAAGGTGATTTTCAACTGCAAAGGTTAGACAATAGCATTTAACTATCTAACGTGGCTGCAGAAGCTGATATGTGTACTCTGCGGGCTATAATTGAAAGCGCGAGTTGCCACGTATTTTCACGAAAACTTCGCCTCTCGCAAGAACAAACCAGATTTATCCTGTCATGGAGGGTCTCATATATTCAGCGAAGCATGCAACGTACAAAGTGGTTTGCGTTAATTTTTTGCTAACGCGTTAACGCTCAGGTTAGCACCACCAAACAAGGGAGAGTCTGCTTACTGATCATCTATGAGAGGATGCTCCTGAATTCCGCTAGGCGGCACAACAGTCTATGAACACCGACGGCAGTGGCCGAGACGCCCCGCTCAAAAATAAAGCAAAAAAGCTCTTTTTCCTAACTTTTGCATGCATCGCAAGATAAAAAAAAAGTGAGGGAAGCAGAGTGCAACACCTCAATGCTACGATCCGCCTAGTTGTGCCACGTGCGGCAAGTGACTGCGCTGAACCTTAGGCCTAGTGAGTCGTTTGACAACAACCGGCATCCACCCTGCCCAGGGGCAGAAGAGGCGGCCACAAGGAAACATCCACTATGCAAGATGGCCCTATTGCTCGCCGCACACAGCAGCTTACCAAGCGATTGGCGTCCACCGTCCCAGACGTTGTCACGATGCCCCGGCATCGAGCCGCAAGACAAGACAGCAATGACCCTCGAATCCCTGAGTCCAAAGAGATAGAAGCTATTTGAAGAAAATCAGATTACCCACGAGGCGTCCGTACTCACTCGCTTTGGGCTTGGCCTACAATCCACGTGCTCTAAGCTTTGCTTACCCCAGGCTGAAAACCACACGGCTCTCGTACCAAATTAACAAGGTTCTTGAAAACTAACTACAACAAGAAATAAACCACTTGCGAGCAAACAAAAAGAAAACTCAATGTCCCAACAAGTTCAAACACATCACAACAACCGATTTTCTCGCTCTCGACAAAGCACACCACTGACGCTAGCAACGGAAGTCCCCTTAGGCATACTCTTCCCCGGCTCAAACAAAAGCTTGCACCGGACAACGACTGCCGTCTGATGCTCCAAGAGCCTCACGTTGGGTAGCCAGTGTGGGGTTTCGAGGTAGCGAGAGTGCCCCGCTCTTGGAACACGGACACAGTTGACACGGTCGGAATCAACCAAACAACACATTTATTTAACTGCTTCTAGAATGACGATATCCTCAGGCGGATTATTATATATCCATTGTGATCAAACATGCTAAAACAACCTTACACATCATTACGCAACATTTAACAGCACAACAAACACAAGGCGGCAGCGCCAACGCTTGACTCACTACAAGAAACCCCGACAGACAGCCCGCGGTGCCGTGCACCGGGGTCCCACTGCGACAGACAACCGTTCGCGCCAAACGCCACCAGCCAAAGATAAACTCGTTCAATTCTCTCGTGCCGCTACCAAAGCTTGCCGCCAGGGGTCCGCGTAGATGGCACCAATCTAATCATGATGATGATAGTGGTGATCAACGCTCGCGAACACAATGCCACCTACCGCTCAATAGTTGTTGACCTCAAAATACGGCTTCTGCGCAAGACACGTTCGCCACGTGGCACGAACCACTTTAGAGAGGGTGTCAGCAACCCCACAAAATGCACGAGAACACATGCGCCACGAGTAGGACATTTACAAAATGATCCAGACGACATCAGAGTTACTGTCTACAATTAATCACTAGTAATTAAACTAGCTGATGTATATAAAAAACCTTTCGTGCATCAAGATACATAATGTAATGCTGTTTGTTTATTTCTGTTTGATTCAGGGAAAAGAGAACCACTAGACTTTACTATAGGAAATGGTGTGAGTAGTTTAAAAGTTATATTTCCGCCTGATTAAAGTGGACAGGTCATGCCATCTAGCGAGCCCAGTTGAACCAAGCACGCCTGACATCTCAGAGGCAATGGCAGGAAATTGTTGAATGGCTGTTGTTGCTGCTATAGCTCCCGCTACTTTCACTCTACTGCTACTAGTGTCGGCGGCCATGCAGTAAATCCGGGCAACGTTGTGCATAGGCACAGTGACGTAAAGATTTCCACCCGAGGCGGGTGATTACAAGTGTGCTAAATGCGGACCACTTAGGCATGATTTGATTTCAAAATAAGTACTTTCTTGCCACAAAAGTAGCACGATGATGTTTTAGACCGCTATTTCCGCAATTAACATCGATTTAATATTTGCCTTTAGCGTCTCTTTAATACATTTCTGGGACCAGCCTTTAGTTTTGGTATTTGTCAACTAAAATGAAGATATTTGAATCATAAAGACTAGACTGTATTAGCAACAAATAACTTCCCAGACCGGCATGAAGGTACTTGCCGGTCTGGGAAGTTATTTATACTGAATTATACTTATACTGAAGTTAAATTATACTGAAGTCAACCACTGAAACTAGTGAGGAGCCATTGCAAAATTAACGAGAAATGTCTAAAGCTTAGGAAACCTAATTTTATTTATCCTAAAATAATGTACTTGCAATGAACATCTTGATGATCGCTCCTCCCAAATTGATTGATTGATTGTTCCTCCCAAATAGGAAAGCAACTGTAGGAATTAAGCTATGACAACATTGTTAACACACCTGCACTAGAGTGCCTAGTGGGTGGCTATTTACGCCATCTGGAGGAACGGCGTCAAGCACAGTGGTGTCGGTGATTTCAGAATAAACCAAGCACCTATCAATCTTCCATGACAAAATTAATGAACTGTGTGTGTGTTACTGTCATTGGAGCACATGACATGAATCTCCTGCATATCATTTCCTCTACAACAAAGTTTTCAAATTCAGGTTGGTGAACAAAGCTATTTCTTTAATGTCGGCAGCTATATTGCTTGTATTTGAATATTTCAGAAAGATATTCTTTTCAATTTGTTCTTGGTCGTAATTATTCTGATTAGCTTTGAAGTTGAAAATATATGATATTTTTACACCCCTAGCTAAGGAATTATGCAGGAGTTTGGCGAAGCCAAGGAGCTTCGGAATAAACATTTATCAGAGAAGGTTTAAGTATAATTCATTTCGAACTCTGTGAAGCTGTGAGGGCACGAGTGGTATGTAAATGGCCACTCATCTTTAGAAATCATGTTGTGCACTTTCATATCAAAGAGCTGCGTAGTCCCACTTATGCAAAAGTCGCAGTGATGAAAGCGGGCGGCTTCTCTAGACTGCTTACCCAGAGTGATGGTTGTAGACCGATTTGTTGATGGATAGCTGGACAGCCACATTTCTGCACAAAGAAAATAAGATGAGAGCACTTTTTAATTGTAGGAGAAACTACAATTACAGAAAAATTCCAAATAAATTGAAATATATATACTAATTATCAGGATCACCTATTTTTATTCAGTAAATATTGACAAGTATTTATCATATTATTCGACAATAAATGGCTTGCTTACTTCATGATCTTGGAATACTTGTATCTTGGTATATATAATGAATACCTGGATTGGCAAAATTAAAAAAAAAAATTTCGTACTTCCGTATCTCAGAATTTATCAGGGTAGATAACATGGGTTTAAATGTATTAACTTACTTCTGGTAAATTTCAACCCACCAAGTAATTTAACACACAATTGTATGAAGCCAAAACAAACAATGAAAACCAAGAAAAGTGCATAGTAATTACTTGGCCGATACAACTCAAATGATAAAAACAAGGAAATAAAAAAAATTACATAAAAAGCAAGAAGCTGCAAGTAGCACATGAGAATACACTTTAACCTTATATGCGTAATGTCTTTACCGGCTGAACTAGCACTAAGCTATACCCTGTCAACTTTCCTGATAAGTTTATTTTCTAGATCTAAACTCCAGAGAGGATGTATGTAAATTACTTGTTTTTATGCCGAGAAATGGAAACTTTGTTCATTTTTATTGCACAATGCGGACACTGTTTTTTGTTTAGTGTTGTCATTTTTTTTCCAATCATGGTTCTAAATAGAGACAAAGACGTTGCTAGATTTTTGAAAAATTTTAAGAGAAACAACCTTTTGAACTTGAAACTTGAAGGACGTGGCACAAACTTAAAATCGAGAAGAACGAGGAAGAGACAGAAAGAGCACTCGGTCTCTTCCTCATTCTTCTCAATTTTAAGTTTGTTGTATTTCAAATAACGATGCACCAACTGGCACGACAGAAGAGTATTGTCAAGCTTTTAAATCTATCAAACTTTTTTGGAACACCTAACACAATCACAAGACGATGATGTGGCAAGAACACCAGGGTGAGCGATGAATGCTAGCATGCATAACAGTATAAATGAGATACCAAAAAGAAAAAAAAGTCAGGGAAAAATGGAAGCTTCTGATGAAAATTCATCACAAGCTTCCGTCTTTGCAACATTCTGACAAGTGTACTTGTCTTCTTCAAGGCTGACAGTATGCATGAGAAAGTTTCAGAACAGTGGCATGCATAACACACGAGTTTTGATAGGGCTTTACGCTCATTGTTCATTCTAATGACACAGTACAACATGTAGGTGTTGGAGCCTGGCGCTTAATTCAAGAAATAGACTGCCCAATAAAAACAGCCAAACTTAATTAGCGTCATACGTATAGGCAGCAGCCTTTGAAAATATTTCTTTGGGGCTCAAATTCTAAAGCGTGCTATTAACTGAGCACAGCTATTTAGTGGAACAAAATACAAAAACTGAAACACAAAGGCAACCAATACACTAGAGTAACAACACACAAGGCAGCAGGCATTCAAAGAGGATTGGTCAAAAAGATTTCTGGAGTGTTGTTTCAAACACAGCACACTTGCTTAAACAGGTGTGCAGTTATCTGATCATCACTAATATTGGCCCTTGGTGTTGTTTGCTGGTTTCTTGTATTTTCACTCCCTTGCACCAAAGAAGTAAATACAAATTTTAGGTTAAGGTTTTGCACTTAAGACATTTAGGGCATCAAACTCAGCATAGCATATCTGATATGTTGGGCCCAGCAGCGCTTTAAATGCGAACATGCTGCTACAAGAATTTCGCAAACACTTAGTGTAATAATAAAGTTGCAGCGAATTAAAATAACTAGTAAAGCTGGTTTCAGTTTCTGACTCATCCTCTACACCACAGAAAGAAACAGACGTGGTCAGGAGTCTTGATTGTGGCCACATCGGCAACATAACATGACCCGAGTGGTTACGTCGTCGGCATTCCCCCAATGACTGAGCAAGGCTTCCTCCAATATTGCTTATGTCAGTTACAGGCAGCACAAGAGATGCGCAGTGTGAAGAACTGATGAGGTAAATAAATATGCAGTGTGTGCAACAGTTGGAAGACAAGGGCCACTAGTCAAACAGTGGAAAAAAGCATGGGTGCTATCACGGTGCAGCGACATTCCCTTATATGATCGCCGTGCCATTCTGTAAAATTGAGCGATCTTGTTTGTGTGGTGTAAATGGGAAGGCTTGGCTCATTTACTGTTTTTTTTTTCAGAGTGAACAGTGTAATACATAAACAAAATGATTAATTATAGCATTCTCTAAGTTCACTTAGGTTTTGCCTCAATTTACATTCAAATTAAGTTCAAGTTAGACATCTTTCAGATGTTTGATGCATGGGTCAAAAGTCTTGAAAGAAGCAAGATTAAGTCCGTGCACCAGACCATGGTATACAACGATGTGAATTGCATACTAGCACATACATGAGAAAATAAATAGAAGTTGCAAAACTACGCATCATAACTATAACATAACGCAAAGAATAAACAAGAGAAACAAAAAAGATAACTAATATATAAGACTATGAGATATTTGCCAGATTACTATTGAAAGAATCAAATATAAATTTGGTATTAAACTAAAACCAAAATTGGGATTTGTACATATATGCATCATAGCTCATTTAAAGACATCAAAGCTATGTCCATACCAATTTTTCACAAGTTCATTTAACAAATCTGACAACGCACTCTCGAGCCCTTGCTTTCCATAGGTTGTCGACTTTGCGTACAAATTAGCCTGAGCTTTTGCTTTTCGTTTCAGGGTAGTAAGAACGTCTAGATGACATTCAGACTTTGATGGAGTAGGCCTCACTGATAGACATATATTTAAACTCAGTGGCACACAACTCCACCAACAGTTACAATGGCAGTGGCAACAAAAAGAATAGTAACCATGAACAAATGTGTCAATTTCCAATCTGCTTCTTCCAAATTCTGGCTCTTTTTCTTATTCACCTTTATGTAGTCTTTTTGGGCTCTGTAGATGAAGCATCCAGGTCAGGGTTTTCTTGGGAAGAAAAGTTACTGGCACGCTACTTTATTATGTTGAAACTCAAATTATTCCTCATGTCCCTAGCTGGCCTTCCTAGATTGCCATGAATTTGAAAGCCTATAGTTACTGTATGCTCACTTCATCTCTATACAATAAAATGTGAACCAATGCCCGTTCATACTCTTGAACGCAAGTCCTGTTCAGTGAGAACACCACTTCTCAACTTGTATTAAATGTCATAATGCTTGCTTTCTAATATGCAACGAGCACTTGAGGTGAATGCCCGACGGCAACTCACGAAGTAGCACACCTGTAAGAATAGAAACAGCATGTATCAATGAAGCTATGTGCATTTTTAGCATGCAAAAGATAGTGCAGTGAGAAAGAAAGTTCCAGTACCGTTCAAAATGTGCATTCACCAGGATTAAATAGTTAACAAAGTACTTTTGAAACACTGTTTGTGTGTCAAACTACTTCTGAAGCCACTTCAAGTGTACTACTATATTTTGATTGATTCTTGTTGGGAACATCAGGGCAACCTGAACATTGCTGCTTTTACTTTAAAAAAACAATGCATTTATACGTTGATACAGCCGGCCAATCATTCAGTTTCCTCCAAGTGTGCATCGAGAGAAGCAATGTTAAGGGTCAAACAAAACTGTAGGAATTGATGCTAGCACTAAAGATAGTAAATATACAGTGTATACAGAAATGTCCTCATAACTTGCCACTACTGAAATGTTTTACAGCTTGCAATGTCAGACAACCGTCCAATATTTGATATTAAGCCAGAAAAATGTTTACTTATTCTGAGATGAAGCTTTTTTCCCAAGATGTCAGTACTTTCTTGATTATGAGCCAGACATGAAGCAACCACCATTTCTCAGTCGTTTTGCACAATTCAAAGCAGCCAACATAAAAGTAAAGCAACCATGCTAAAGTAAGTAAAGAATTCATTATTAAAACAGCAGGAGTATACTGTCTCTAATATTCCAAGTAGAATGATACAGTAAGAACAGCAAAGCACAACCAATGCTCCAATAATCGTAGTTATTACAATGACGAACCTATAAATCTCTGTTCTGCCTTCTTTCTTTTTCTTAACAAACAAAGCATTCCCTCTGCAGTCACCACACTAGAGCAAGCTCTCCTGCAATTACAGCAGGTTACTTTGAATCTTTCACCCCAGCTTCATGTTTGGTGGTTGAACTTTTGCTGTCATCACAAATACGTTGATGTTAGTGTGGCAGACAGACAGACAGTGCAGTCCTAGTGAGGTGCCCTGGCTTGCTCTTGACTAATATCATGTCGCAACCAAAACACTATGCCCCTCCACTCTCTCAAGACCCCTGTGGGCAAAATTTGGGTTACCATTGATATTAATTACATAACTAGCCGCCGAGGACCTCAATACAAAAGTACTACATGCGAGAGGAACATATAAGCACTGGACACTGATTACACATCATAATTAAAAAAACTACATAGTAATAATAAAAAAGTTAAGCATATGGACAGAAGGTAGAATACCGGATCCTAGTATCTAGTTAACCTTCCTGTCTTCCTTATTTCTCGTTTCTCTCAATATATGGACAGAAAATTCAGAAAAATAAAATTACAATGTTATAGGGGTACACATGAGTTGTAAAAACTAAATAGCACAAATATATCTATAATATTATTCAAAAGTTATGATAATAATCATAATAATGTAGGTGGTTAGCCGTGAGTGAAATAATCTCAAAACTTGGTTAGGCTGGGTGAAGTGGAAACGTGTTATGGGATCATCATGAAGTAAAGGACAGCGATGAAGCTTAGAGAAAAGTGAAAGGCAGGAAACTTTATGGGGAAGTGCTAAGTCGTTGAAGTCAGCTTTCATTTTGACAGTGTGAAATTGGTGAGACATGAATAACCTGAAAAAATTTTCGCACCACACAGTTTTGCAATGTTACTGGTAACATGAGTTTGTTCAAGATCCCACATGGCAGACACGTATTCGTTCAAGATAGATTAATGTGGGGTACGCTAGCTTTTTATGCATTGGGCCAACTTTAAAATTATGTTTAGGATGTCCGAGTGTACAGTTAGCAAAAGCCAGGATATAAGATTAATATGATTATTCTATGATTAGACTGACTGACGAGCTTGTGCACAGTAGTTGTGGGTAGAGGTGAGCTAGACAGTACAGTTGTAATAGTTATGATATGGTCAGGATTTGTTGCCTGGTAGTGAAAGGCAAGAGCTCAGTTTTGTAGCACTAGTTATTTTGAACACTATGTGATACCAATTTAAGGTCAGTTGGAAGTAGTTAGCTATTAGTGTCACGTGTTTTAGTACATCAATAAAGCACATAATCAGCAGCATCTGAAGGCTTACAGGCCATAATGCATAGCAACAATGTAACCAGAACCGAAGAAACACCAGGTCTGCACGGAAAGCACAGCGCAGTCACAGCAAAGCGCAGTCACAGCAAATACTGAAGAGCGGAATTTCTACAGCTGCTTGTAAACTTTCCTAGTGCTGATAGCTAATACAAGTACATTTGCGACGTACCCACTATGCTGTAAATTGTCATAATTTTTGTGAAGTAGAAGTAGGGAAACGCCCACTATGCCATTTTTGAGTACCCACTACACACCTGTAAGGCATTGTGTGCACTTTGTTGAAGCTGTGCCTAATGATAACAAAGATCACGGCTGAACCCTTTGTAATGGGTTGGAAACATCCAAAAACCCACTGTCGAGCAATCGGCATTGTGTGAAGCCTGGTTGTTATTTTACTTTTCTGCCATACTATCTTTGTTAATGTGGTTCCCTTCCAACAGAAAGCCTGTATAGGATTTTTTTTTTGTTAAGGAGTTTCAAGCACCAGCACCAATCTGTACTAGAATGCTGGGCTGCACAGCAGAGGTCCCAGGTTCGAATCCTATTCTATCCTGGATATTCTTTCTCACTTCCTTTTTTTTTTCTATAGCAATTATGGACACCAGGGGCAGCAGACTACGGCACTGAAAAAGGCTGTTGTGATCTCATAGCAATATTCACTGCAAAATTTGGGGGCAAGGGAAGGAAACGTTTACTCTTCTCCTATGCCTGCAACACAGAGCTAGAAGACACTGTTATTTAGCTCCTGCCAACCTCAATTTCTGAGCCATCAGTGACAGATGTGAAAATTAGTTGTGTACCTCAACGACGACAGTAGACAAAGCACGCATAGGATGAATCAGCTTATATGTAAAGCTAGCTAATGCTATTGACACACGTGTTTTGATTAATGACTTTTCTTACTCTAGAATCATATATAGAGAGAGTAAGCACTACCTCAACTTAATCAGTGTAAAGGATACATGTAATCAAGCACATCCCCCTTTTAATCAAGTGACAAGCTTTATAAGAGTTTCTTCTTTTTATTTGCTTGACAAGTCACATTGTCAATAGCACCTACACCATCTTTTCCACGTTATATGAGACAGTCACCTAAGTGGTAATAAGCGTGCCTACGATATAGAAATTGGAATAGGGGCCTGATACGATTAGTTTGGCCCGCTACATTATGATTATTTTGTGTGTGTGCTTTATTATGACTCCCCATTTTCCATGTTATTACACAGGTTATAGTGTTTAATATTCCTAAGCTGCAGCATGTCATACAGGCTCAGTTTATAGCTGTGCTTCTGTGACTGTTCATGTGGTATCCCCTATGTCCCTAATTGGGACCATCTGTTTGAGGAATTGCAGTTAACTTTGATGAAACAAATATTTCTTTACCATAGGGTTGAATTTCCCATATAGAGCCATTCCAAGCAGCAACAAGATTGTGACCCGGGGATGCATGCTTGGGTAACGTTCGCTCGTATGTCTCAGTTACCTATCATATTAGAGAACTGTAGCCTGCACAGGTATCCCAGTATATGCAAAGGAGTTTACAAAATGTCGATAAAATTCTGCAAATTCCACATACCATAAACTGATGTAACCTGTCGAGTGCAAAGAGAAGATGACTGAGTTGTAACTTTTTACAAAACGAAATGTTAAGAAATGATGCAAAAGATATGTACTAATGTTGCAGAAAAAGACTTATGTTGAACCATTGCATATACTTTATATAACCAGTCCTTTACAGTTGTGTAACTATGCCAACAGCAACATGGGTATTATCAGCAGCAGATATGTAGCCTTTATGCTCGTGAGGATGGTAGCTTTGCACAGTGCTACGTACACCAACTTCGGTGGATAAGGCTCAAATGGACGTTTACCCGATGTGACGCCTGTATCATAGGAGTACATATGCAATGTTCACAAAATTACATAGCCAATCTTGCAGCCAATATTGACGTTTCAACAACATTACACATGCTAAGGGTCTTTTTCCAAAAAAGTTCCGAGAGCTATCATGGCTCTGTGGAAGAATACTGTGGTAGAACGCCATGCAGAATGCTTGGGTTCAAATCCTGGTAGAACCCCGCCATGTATCTATTCTTTGCATTCGTCAAGTCAAAGTTGCTGATGTTATTTTTTCATAATGCTCGAACATTCAAATTGCCGATGGCTGTTCTCACCATTTCTGGGTATATACCGCGGTATGGGGGTATGTGCCCCACGTGTCTGAAGGAGAAGGTTCAGAGAGGTATGGAATGGGATTTTCACATTAATTATGTCATCATCAGCCAGACATATTTGTGAAACCTTCTTACACTCTCATACTAGTTTTGGTCTGCCCCAAGTTAAAGAAGTAGTCACGAGAGCACCCAGACGTAGGCAGCTACAAGAAGCTATCTCTCTGGATAGATAGATAGCTTGTGATGGTCAGCCAGACGGATGGATAGATAGAAATGCTCAAAGTGCTTGCAGTTAATTAAGAAATGCTTTGCAATTTTATAGCAAACAAACACCAGCAGAGCAGCAGAATATGGACGGTTTTTACAGTAACAAGTCTGCGCTTGCCATGTTCTTATTTGTGCCGCCAGGTGGCCCACCTACCTGGCCTTTCATATTTATGGCTGTAGTAATTTATCACTACGTTAAAGCAAAGTCTACGGGCAAACGAAAATTCTTTATTAACGCTACCTGCGTGTCACTTGTAAGAGATAATATTCATTTATAAGCTATTCAGCTTT